TATGCCTACTAAAGTAGCACCTGTTGCAAGTTGCTATAATACGCTCATACATTTAATATTTCAAAATTGTCAATCAATAAAACGTATACAGCAACATACACAATCTTAAAAACAAATCTTACTTGCAATCTTTCGTTGTAAAGATATAACAGCTTTTCTAGTATGGGTTGCACCTGCTTTCTGTCTTTTTCTAATAACGAAGCCAACGCTTGGGCAGCTGCAGTCTGTACACATTCGACGGGATGTTCTATGTCCTTCAAAAGTTCTTCGCAGAATTCCGAAGGAAAACTCAAATTTGCATTTTCCCACAACAGCTGTGCCAAATCTCTGACAATTTGATGCATAAAATTGTAGATTTAATATATTACTTATTTCCAATATTACCTGTTATCTTCATTTACATCGAATCTAGCTATCCATATTCTTTTGTTGATTCTTATAGCCTCTTCATAGTTTTCTTTGTAGCTAGGAATTGAAGAGGCCATTTCACTGATAGCTCGTAAAGCAGCATCTCTAACAGTATCCTTAGGATTCTGAATAGCTCCCAATAGAACATCAATCTCCGCTAGTGAGGCTTTGGAACAATTTTCTTTTCCATTCGCAGATGCAGCCACATCCAGTAAACAAGCGACTGCTTGACTTTGAATTCGGCCACTTGTTGTACCTAAAATTATATCGAAAATTTGCATAGCAAAAATTTTGCAATTATATATATAACAACAATTTTGTTAGACGTCGTTTTGTTGGCCCTCCAACAGTTTAGATAATAAAATCAATCAGCCAATTTTTTCTGACTTATCTTGTAAAATGATCTCTTAATAGCCGATATCATTAAAACTTATTAAGCAAACACTTATAACAATTTTTCTCAGAGTTCTAAAAAAACGTTACTTTGTAATCGACTAACTTACATACTTAAATTTTATTGTTAAGGTAACAGCTACTGACTAACTATTCTGCTGTCCACTGTTAAATTTAAGACATTACAAATGTCCCTGTGTTATCCTATTAAAAAATAGTATAGTTTAAAATGTTTTCTTGTCTTAAAATGTAGTTTTAGAAACTTTACAGCTTGTTAATCGTTTTGTAAATGTTTTAAAATAATAAATTTAAATCGCTGAAAAATTATTAATCATTCTTACTTATCAATTCAATTAACAGTTGGAACATTTCCTTCCGTGGCAAATATTTTGGATTATATAAATCTCCATCTGGTTCATCAGATGCTCGTAATTTCGCGTGTTCTGAAATAATTTGTAGCCCATCGTGTATCAAATTTTCGTTGGTTTTAGCATAAGATGACAACAAAGCGGACTTCAGCAAGCTGAAAGTGTAACACATTGCAGAAGCTGTGAAATAGTTCTGAAGATGACCTGATCTTGTCACTTCATCATCTTCGATCCTTTTAAGAGTGGTAGCATGGATAAGTCCTATCGTCCTAACCATTTCTTTGGTTAAATCTTCCTCTTCCCAGTTACTTTCTAGATCGCACGCAGGCTTTAACAGTCTTAATGTGACGTGAGCTATTAAATCGCCTAAAGTGTCGAGGTGATGTGGAAAAACTGCTCTGCGAAGGTTGATGTATAATTTAGTGGCGTATGGGGCCGCTAGAGGTGATCGGAGAATTAACAGAACAGTTGGTAAAAGATCTTTAAAATGACAGGAAAGGCCTTTAGGATTTCCTCGTAAACAAGCTTCAACCATGGAGACGCAATTTTCGATTATTAAGTTGTACTGTAAAAAAGGATTCGGTGTAATTCTTTTTATTTTTATGAAAGCATACTTTTTAAAAAACAATCTAAAAAACTTTTACCTCTGTAAGTCTACTCCTTATAGCCGACTCTTTAATTTTTTGATTTTTAATGGCTTCTAACTGTTTAGGAGTGTACTGTGGTTCTTTAATTTTTCCTTCTTTACGCTTTTTCTCCTCTAACTCACGCCTCAACTGCATTTCTTCCAATTGTTCTTTGTAACTGTATGCTTTACTTTCTCTCTTCATATTCATAGCAGTGTTATTTTCTTCTCTGTATTAAATAAAATAAACAAATCATAATGTTCGAATTGTATTAAATCAATAAACCAGTAAGTACACGATTACGTCTCTCTGCCCCCAACACCCGGATAATGGCCTGATGGGATTGTTCGTTTATTAATTGTGTTATACAATCGATAAAAGCTATAACCATTGGTTTTTCAATTTATATGCTTTGTTTATATTGTATTACTGTATTTCCTATTTCTGTTTAAATTTCAGAATTTATCTCTGTAAGCAATGGCAAGAATTAAAGGTATTTAACGATCATACAGCGGCTGCAACGGGAGTTAGATTCGGCAAACACGCTCATTTCATAGCGTCTACGTCANAAAATTTAACAAACATTTCTTATTTAGTACCTTTGATTTGGTATATTGTTCAACAAGTAACTTTCTGAGCTGAGGTGATTGTTGAGAAACGAAATCTCTTGGATTTAAATGTAAATGCTTAACAATTTTGATCCATAAATCACTAGTTACTTTAGATATAGTAGGGTGTGAGGCTGGTAAAAGAGCATCTAGAGCCAACAATTGAGCATCATCAACTGGTAAATCTTTTGCTGAACACAACGTTGTAACACATTCCATAATTGCATGTGGAGAGATCTCTTGATTAACATAGTCATTCCTTTCTTTTAAAGCTGAATCTCCTTTACACTGTAACAATTTTATATAATACTGAAGTCCTTAAATACTACGAAATGAACAAAAATAAAGGTGTATGTACTTGTATGTGTATGCATTAGAAGTTATACTTCTTTAGCTAATTAGTAAGTACGTATGTGTTCATTTAAACACTGTTTTCAATTACGTATTATAATATTGTTGTCCCTACTAGCTGGGGTGCGAACTCGCCCCAGTTAGAGAACAGCGGCAACCACTAAAAGATCAAAGTAGAAATTTCATTAGTTGTGCACAGACAACTTCTGTTCCCTCTTAAAATTTTTAATCTCAACGCCTCAAAAGAAGTATAACTTTAAAACTTCAAAGAGGAATAGTAATAATTACTACTACTAAATAACTAATGATAGTATCATTTTATTAATTCACCTGTATCTTTACAGTTTCCAAAAAAACGTTCAAGTCCTTAAGAAGTGCTCTGGCAATTGCCGTTCCTCCTAAACCGCTAACCATTTTCTTCAAAATTATAGAACATTTTCTTCTAGTTTCACTTGATAACGATGTCACGCAAATTAATATAGCTCGATATAAAGGTCCTGTTTTGCCGTTAAATCTTTCCGGGAATTCCAGTAATAGTATCTGCGACATTTCCATAACCATTACCAGAGCTTTAAAGTAACAAGTATGGAGTGTTTTAAAATTGAACCGTTAATAAACTTCTTATTATCATTCCTTTACATATGAATCTAATTAACTTTAAACTTGTTTCTTTTACAATTATAACCATTTTATATGGCGTAATAAATTAATTGAACATTAATCATTATTCTTAAATTAATTTTTAACTGTGAATGCTGATACGCTTGTCACGTGATTTTTAATATGCGTTTTAATAATATATATATTCTACTTTTGATTTTATATAAAATTAGGAACCAATAACGAAAATTCGATGGCAATATATAAACAGGTGAAAATAGCGTAAGTGAGTCATTTTCACCCCTGTAATAAAATAAAGTAAGATATACATAGGTCATAATAATTAATACGAAACAAACAAGTTTTTTATCTATTACAAACACTGATAATAATGCATACGAAGTATTTTATGATGTAGCCCTGGCAACCGTAACTTTTTACAGCGGACCTTGAGCCACTTGAATTTGGGCATCCCTGCTCTAAAGTATTACAAAGCTTTAATATTGAGCTTGCAAATCGTTTTTAAAACATCTATCTATTGTTTAAAGGAAAAATGTATTACCCTCGTTAGTTGCAGCAGAAAGAAATTTTTCAGAAACAAACAACTGTTTATCCATGTCGAAAATTACGTTCCATATATTCTGATACGCATTTTCATTCGATCCTTGGGCAGTGACAATTCTAAGGAACAGACAGGTAGCACTCAAGCCTTCAATAACTATGGGATATTGTGAAGGTTGTGCAATAGCTTTTTCAATAGATTTCAATAAAGTTGGAATCAGAACTGTTGCTTGCGGTATCGTATTACCATTGAAACAAACGGACATGCATTGTATGTATGAAGTTCTAACGGCAGCAGTAGATGTTTTGAAGTTCATTCCATTCTATAAGTAACACGGGTGTATTTTTTTTGTTAAATTAATGCAGAAATTTAATTATTTTAGAAATAATGACAATAATGACTCGACAGTTGAGTTATTAAATGATAATTTTTTTTGTTATTCAGTTGTGTTATTAAATTAAATTAAATAATCTGTAGGTTTTTAGTGTAGCCCATCGTGTATCAAATTTTCGTTGGTTTTAGCATAAGATGACAACAAAGCGGACTTCAGCAAGCTGAACGTGTAACACATTGCAGAAGCTGTGAAATAGTTCTGAAGATGACCTGATCTTGTCACTTCATCATCTTCGATCCTTTTAAGAGTGGTAGCATGGATNGATCCAATTACTCTTAAAGCTTCGGTACCAGCTTCTTGTACTTTCATATGAGAATCGCTAAGAACTTCAATGAGCTTTGGGACAATGCTAGGCAAACAGGATGAAAGTTGTTTGGGGGCGCAATATGCCATAGCTCCAAGTAACTCTATGGATCCTATGAAAAAAGGAATAATAATAAAATGCCTGAATATGCAAAAAATTCCTTAGAGTAGTATAAATAAATCTGAAATATGAATAACTGCTTATAAAAATCTTCTTTTAATGGAAAATTAAATCACTAAATCTTTTAATATATAACTATTTAGGTACTTAATATTTCTTATGACTATTTTAAACGAATAAGAAATATTAAGTACTTAATATTTCTTATGACTATTTTAAACGAATAAAGTTACTAGAAAAAGGTTATAGTAGTTATTTAAAATCTAAATAACAGCACATATTATTTTTCATAACAATCATTTTTTTTCATATCTTTCTACTCTCTTACGCGACCTAAGAAGTTGTACTTAAAAATGAATAGAAATAGCCTGTGCTTTAAATATCGAATATCTATTTCAATTTTAGTGTAGAAAACAGTTAAGTGGATTTCTAATATCTACCTGTTTTTGTTCTCCACGAGTCCTCTTCTAATGCTGCTAAAAGTGAAGGTAATACCAGTTTGACACCATGTCCTGATAATTTGCTCATTACTATGCGTGCGCAATCATCAGTGGCATTACGCACATACTGACTAGAATCACCAAAACACAGTAGTAAATGAGGCAACACATGAACTATATAAGGTTCAAACAATCTGCCCAACATTTGGCATAACATTTCAAATGCGAACAAAGCACCTAAAAATGATATTGTTAATATTTAACTTTTTTCTTTTAATACACATCAGACATATCATTTAATATATATTATATGTTACATGATATATTTCAGATGTTTAAAATGCAATAGTTATTTTTAAATTAAAACCAACCTTCTCGATGTTTATAATTCTTTTTATCTTGAATGGCTTCCGTAAGTTTGGTCATTATATCTAACTGTTTAAGTGCCAAAATACCCATTCCTTTTACCAGACCTGCTAAACCATATGCAGCTCCTTTTCTATCTCCGTACTTATCACTTTTTAATAATTGATGTAACAATTTATTAACAAGACCTGGAGCTTCTTCTTTCACTGAGGGAACTAAAGGAGGTAAGCAATTTGCAACCGCTTCTTGGACCTGTTTAAAAAAAAATGAGGAAATAAATTTTAAAAACTCAGAAACAAAATCGTTTACAGTTTGCGAGGGAGTGGAAAGTGCTGATATTAGTCGCATCACTATCGGTTTTATTCTGGGGTCGTCTTTGTCTAAATGCTTAGCTAATGAACCCATCAAAATAACGACAGCTTGCTTCACTGCGTCGAATTGTGCAGATTTTGATGATTTGTCCATGAAATTCTCAAAAACTGGCAGTAAAGTAGACACATGATCCTAAAAATATTTAAAATAATAGAATGCATCCTTATATTATATTATTAATGCAATGTTTGCCCTCTTATTCAGTCTACATGTAATTTAAGACGGATTTTAAAAAGATTTTAGTATATGAAATATCAAAAAAAGTTCTACAACAGTCAACACTGAACTTTCCTTTTGTTGAAATATAATAAAATCGAAGTAAAATAATTATAAAACAAGAAAACGCCAAACGGATGGCAAAAAGAAAATACAACAAATGGCGCGGTAAACGCCATCTGTAGTACGATGCTACATTTTAGGATTACGTATGCTCTATTGGATGGCAAAAAAATATAATAAACACATATTTAAAAAAAAAATAATGAATGTAAAAAATTTACTTTGTAAACAAAGTTTTTTTGGAAAGCTATTTTAGAGTTGATTACTTGGGTGTACAATATCAAAAATGTATCCAATAAAGACAGTTTTTACTTACGTTTCCATGAAGATCGACTATTTTCAAAGCAGCGTTCAGCATTTCTTTTCTAACTTTTTCTTTTCGATCAGCGAGAGATATTGAGACGAAAAATTGTATAAGACTGCCTATTGTATCTGGTTCTAAAAGAGGTGAAATCTCAGCTAAAGCCACTGCTACACCTCTACGAGGTCCCCAAGTATCAATCGACTTCTCAACTTCTCTCCCAAACTCATCCAGCTTTGGTGGAATCATCTTCAAACATTAAAATTGTAATTTATTTTGAAAACGGTAATAGGGAATTTCGGAAGTTAAGGTGAAAAAAGTTACGTTTTTGTTTACAATATTATTTAACTAACTACCTAAGATATATATTACCCATCCCAGGAAAGAATGAACTTGCGTCATTCTAGACGGAGTCAAGAAAAAGCGTTGATTCATACGCTCTTAGGTACTAGTAATGCCCCCAATTCGATCTAGCAGTGATTGACAGCTCATAGCGCTATCCTTTTTCAATGCTACGTTTATCTAATTATATTCTACAGTCATATGTCATTTATTAGTTCACTATTCTCTTCTATGCTTGTCTTTATTTTTGTTAGTCGATTTAAGAAAGGTACATGAAGTTCGCTGATAGATCCATACCCGTTTATTCTTTCGTGAGATAATATGTAAATTTGATTTAGTGAAGCTGTAATAAATATCGAAAGAAATAAAATAAAACTAAAGATATTTGAAATCCAATTAAGAACAACACAATTTAACCATTTTTTAACTTTTAAAAATCACACGCTCCTAAAAACGCAGTATTTTTTTGTTTAGCGTTTACTTCGTTTCACTGCTAATTTAATTTTTAGTAGCTTCACTAAATCAAATTTTAAATAATTAGTTATTTACTATATTTAGTGCAGTTGCAATGCGAAAATAGTTTTGAAAAAAAAAAAGTAAAAAACGAAACACATCTACAAATTTAATTTAGTGATGCTGTTAAAAATTAGTAATAAA